TGTCTCACGGTGTTGTTGCTTGCAGATTTACTTATACTTCTTCAACCCTGAAGATGGGGGCGATACGTTCCTCCGAAACGTCGGTTAACACCACATATACACGGTGCCAAATCCCAGAAGACTGCTTTCTTCAACATATAATAAGCCTTAAAGATGCCCAGATAGCCCCGGTTAAGCCACAAACCAGTTTATCCACCCCCGGATAATCGAGAGTTGAGTGTTTGTATATACAGTAGAACTTGGTTATAACGTCATCAAAGGGACCTAAAAATAGTGTCGTTATAAACGAATGTCGTTGTAACTGAAATGGGCACTTCCAGAGTAGCCTTATGTTAGTCACGTAAAAATCTACCAAAAACCGAGTTAAAATGTTGCATTTTTAGTGAAATACGTAGTTAAGTACAGACTAACATAACATTAACGTGGAATTGCCCAAATGTGTAATATCAAAGACATATCACAGCGCTTTTCACTGGCAATACACACAATATTTCACGAATCACTCCAACTTTCTCTTCAATGCTTAAAACTTTTCTTTTCATTGCCATGTTTTCGCTACTGCACTTCTCTGGGTTTAGCCAGGAACACTATAGGGTAAGTAGACAATGTGAGGTCCTGTTAGACGAGATTCTAGGAAAGGAATGCAGTTAACAACCTGCCGCGTCCTCTTGCACTATTCATGCAGTCCCACCCCACACCCTTGTTTTCGCATAAAACCCACGCTCCTCTTGCAGCCCGCGGTCGTATTCTTCCCGGACAGTCACGTCAGCAAGTAGAGAAAGTGAGGGTGGGCAGACACATCGAACTTTCCCACGATATCAGAGAAATTCAGGAATGAAAATGACATTACATACGAGGTTGATGCATTTGTGCATGTCATACTAAGCAAGGTATAAAAACAGTTGCTTTATGAGGAATTAGTTCGTACCATTGAATATCTGACGCAATAGACAAGGTGTCACAGAAACCGATGTTGCTATAACCAAGTTTTACTGTATATATATGGCAGCTGTGCGTTAGAAATACACTGAAAATAAATATGTGGCTTATAGTTGGGGTATCACATGCTACATGCAGTGGCAAATCAACATTAACACAGTCCCTGCATAAACAACTACCTGGTTCATTTTTGGTATGTGAGGATGACTTCTTTCTGCCTGTAGATAGCCAGTGACATACTCTGATCCCAACCTTGAACCATTTTAATTGGGAAATTATGATGAGCCTGGATATGGAAAGAATGCATGCTGTTATTGAAAACTGTCTTTTCTCTGACAGTGCTGAAACTGTTTTACCTCTCAACAGTTTAACAACTTAACAGTTCAACAGCTGTTAACAGGATGGCATGGTCACCTCTATATGCGGAAAGTGATAAAATTGGGACAGTTCTTAATCCTGGGTGCCACAGAGCAATGCCAGAAGATATGGTATATTTGAAACCAGACGGAACTCAATCGATGGCAACACGTGAAAAAGACACTGACAGCACATCATCAGGAACAAAGATGGCAGATGGCTGTGGTGGCAAGCAAATATCAGGTGTTCATATTCTCATTATTGAAGGGTTTCTCATTTTCAACGACAAGAAAACAGGTGACTTGTGCCACTGCAAGTACTTCTTAACTCTCACCAGAGGGCACTGATGGGCAAGATGAAGTGTCGGAGCATATGATCCTCCAGATGTACCAGGCTACTTAGATCAGTGTGTATGGCCCGAATATGAGGAACATCATGATGAAGTTTTCAAACAAGTTCCGTTATTGTCATAGACGGAAATCAGAACAGAACCAGTGTATTAAAACAGGTTCTACTACGTATTAGTCAAACATCTCATGAGTTGCTTCAATTACAGAAAAGTTGATGGCTAAATTATGTAGCTGCTCTACTCTGGATGAACAGATATTGATGAAGTTTGGTGTTTTAGAACTGTTACTGAAACTTAACATCCAAAGCAAATGTAGTCTAATATGATAAAAACTGTCATATGAATGCCCAAATACTTCTTTTCAGATTAGTGTTTACCAGAATGTAACACAATCCCCTTCTAAAAATTTAAATGTAAAAACAATGTTTTAAAATCAGAAGAGAATCAATGAATATGGTCCATTACACAGCACAAGAGAGATATATATAAATACTGTAGAGAAACATCATGATCAGATCTTTTGCATCCGTCAGATATTGGAGAAAAAATGGGAGTACGATGAGAGAGTACATCAGCTACTGATAGACTTCAAGAAAGCCTATGATTCAGTTACGAGGGAAGTATTGTACAATATTCTTATAGAGTTTGGGATACCCATGAAACTAGTTAGGTTGATTAAAATGTGTTTAAACGAAATGTATAGTAAAGTCCGTGTAGGTAAACATTTGTCTGATAAATTTCCTATCCAGAATCGCCTAAAACAAGGAGATGCTTTATCGCTATCCCTTTTAAACTTTGCCTTAGAATATGCAATTAGGAAGGTCCAGGGAAACCAGGTGGGACTGAAATTAAATGGGACACATCAGCCGTTGGTCTACGCCGATTATGTGAATCTACTGGGTTATAATGTAGATACCATAAAGAAAAACACAAACTTTAATTGATGCAAGTAAAGAGGCTGGTCTAGAAGTAAACACAGAGGAAACTAAGTATATGTTACTGTCTCGTCACCAAAATGCAGGGCAAAATCATCATATAAAGATAGGAAACAGATGTTTTGAAAATGTGGCATAGTTCATATATTTGGCAACGATAACAGATCAAAACCTGATTCAGGAGGAAATTAAGAGGCTATCGAACTCTGGTAATGCTTGCTACCATACAGTCCAGAACCCTTTGTCTTCTCGTCTCCTGTCCAAAAACATAAAAATTAAAATATACAAAACTATAATTTTGCTTGTGGTTCTGTATGGGTGTGAAATTGGTCTCTGACATTAAGGGAGGAACATAGACTGAGGGTGTTTGAGAACAGGGTGTTGAGGAGAATATTTGGACCGAAGAGGGATGAAGTGACAGGAGGTTGGAAACAACTGCACAGTGAGGAGCTTCATAACTTGTACTCTTCTCGAAGTATAATTAGAATGATGAAGTCAAGGAGGATGAGGTGGGAAGGTCATGTAGCACGAGAGGCGGGAGACTAGGAATGTGTATAGGATATTGGTGGGAAAGCAAGAAGGAAAGAGACCACAGGGAAGACCAAGGCGTAGGTGGGTGGACAATATTAGAATGGATCTTAGAGAGACAGGATGGGATGGTATGGATTGGATAGATGTGGCTCAGGATAGGGACCAGTGGAGGGCTCTTGTGAACATGGTAATTAACCTTCGGGTTCCATAAAATGCTGGGAAATTCTTGAGTAGCTGTAGAATTGGTGGCTCCTCCAGAAGGGCTCAGCGCCATGAATAAGTAAGAGAAACATCATAGCACATAAATGGGAAATATGGCGGTATTATTAAACAACAAATACATGTATCAAATAGGACAAAGAAAAAGAAAAAAGACAATGTTAATCCCAAAGGATTATGATCACTGCAAACTGTGATAGCAATAGGCATTAATTCCTGAGTTTACTTTAGAATTAACACATTAGCTTTTTGTCGACTTTATGCAGAAAGACAAAGATAATGGAAATCATTTGTGCTTTGGGTTAGAAAGTTGTATTTATAGCTCTGTGAAGGATGTCGAAGTTTCACTGAAGATAAGTAGTGTTCTAGAAACATGTTTGATATGAGTTGTATTTTTATAGATTCATGCAGTGTATTGGTTTTCCACTTTTAATATTGAGACAAATTTTTTACAGTCACAGTTTAATGCGGTATAATTTTGACAAAACATATCTAATTTAACCCTTTAAGACTGGATTTTTTTTTTCTTAATAATATACAAGAATTCAGTTCATACCTGACAGGAAACACATTATGTCTCTGCTACAAAGCCCAACCAGTTAATGCAGTTTAGGGAAACTATTGCTGTTTATTGTAACAATCCTATGAAATGAAAATACACTCTGTGGGTAGAATGTAAAGTTTTAGTGTGTTAGAGCAAATGGTATATATAATAACAACTGGGCTTTAAAGGGTTAACCATCCACATGAGCCCATGCCATGGAGAGGAACACTCCCCATTCTGTATCCATGTGAGTGCTCGGCAGTGGTGAATTTGAACGTTAAATGAAGGAAAATCTTAAACTGTGAGACATGAAATGCTGGTTCCACTGTATTTTCATTCACTTGTGGTTATAAGGTGACACTTCTTGTATTCAAGAAAAGATGATCACACATAAAATTGGTTCACAGATGGCATTGAGGGTGTCAGACTTATGTGGTGGCCGCCCTTTACCACCCAGGAAGATTCCTGGTACTCATTTCTGTTTGAGGTTGAGTTGACCCCAGGGACATAGTGAAGCTGGTCAATTGAAACATCCAATGACCGGTAGTGTCAAGACTTTTCTCTTTTCCATGTCATCCAGATCAGCTCTGGGGCCTTATCCAATCCAATGCTATTTCCCTGAGGATAAAGCACCTGGGGTGTGAAACTGTTCTCTAACCTACAACTACTGCTGAGGTCAGGAGAATGTGGATCTATACATTCACATTTTCCATGCCTTCATGGCAAAGTGCTTAATTAGTTAAGCACAGAGACAACTTTACTTCTTTACCTGCATAAAAACTATTTCTAGAACTGGTGAAGTTTTGAAATCCTCATTTGGAAGTCTTCTATCAAAACTCACATGTCCATCTCCCCTGACAATAACATGACAGACTGGATGGGTAATGGAACAGGCCCTAGTAAGAATATTATAAACCAATGATGCACAACATTTCTCTTTAAAAGGGCCGTACTGTGAAACCACCTTTTGTCTCTAGACCTTGTTAGGTAAAAGGTAAAGCTATCCCTGTAACAGGCAGTGGAGACTCATAGTGCTGTTAGGTGTCAAGGCTCCCACATTTTCTAGACAACTGACTCACAGGTGGCCATGAGATTGTCACCCTTACATGCCGGCCACCCTCTAACCACACAAAGATCTCTGGTACTCATTCCTGTTAGAGGCTGAGTTGACCCCAGGACCACAGTGCGGCTGGAAAGATTAGGTCAATTGAAAAACCCAATGACCTCATTGGGAAGTGAAACAAATACCGTATTTACGCATGTATAGGCCGCAGCACAATTTTCAGACAGAAATTATGGAAAAAATAATTTTCTTGGAATATTATTTCAGGAGTATTACACCCTGTATTACTAATTATGAATATAATTTTTTTAAATGAAGTGTGATTTTGAATATTTCCAATATAAGCCGCACCCCAGTTTTCCTCTTGAATTTTTGGCAAAAAATGTGCGGCCTATACATGCGTAAATACGGTATTTACATGTTGTGTACCATTTGTTTTTAGCATGTTGCAGGCTGTGCATCACTGTGAAAAATATCTTTTCTGTTCATTTACATGTGAATCTTTGAGAGCACATGTTTAAATTCTGCTTAATGTAAAAATGTAAGCATATAATTTTGCCACAGTCAATATTAGGTGGGTATGGCTGTAAAGAAAGATTTCTTTGTGAAATGATTCAAGCTGCATTAAGTGTCAGTGTTCAGTGTTTTGCACAATGCATTGTGAACCTCAGAATGTCTCATTACAACAATCAGGAAAGGCTGCATTATTATATAATAAAGACAAACTGAAAAACCATATTCCCTCATCTACTTCTTTCATCCCATCTCAAGAGACTGCCTGCCTTTATAGTCAATCAAGTCAACAGTAAAGTCCAACTTACTGGTACTTGAAACATGCTTAAGTTATTCAAGCACCATTTTCTTCCTTATTTTCATTACTCTATGTTCTCATTAAATATTTTGTTCATGCCTTCAGTATGCACTGTTGTTGATTTTAATCCCTTTCCTAATGATGACAAGGGGGATGAAAACAATAGTGATCTGGAATGCACAACTCACAGTTGTCATCATTAGAACACAGTAAGTATGGGGGAACATTCATTATCAAGGAAGTAACATATATATTTGCACAGCTGTGTCAGCATTACATAAAGAAACAGCACATACAAAAGGACCAGTGAGAAGTGGTAAGTAGTGCTAATGTGCACTGTATGAATTATATATGAAAAAGCACTTCTATGTTGCTGGAAGTGTAAAATTAGAATGGGTAAATGTAACAGTTACACAGCACAGTTTAAGTTACAAGTTAAAGTAAGTACATACAGTGAACAGTGGATATGAATAATAAATTTAAGAAAACCCTAATTTGACATTACAGAATACTGAGATTAACCTGGAATCACTGAAATGAATATTACATAAAGGAAAAACCTAAAATGAGAGGAACTAAATTCCATTTCTGCTAGAAATTCATCTTCTACATGAACAATTAAATATACAGGAAAACTGCATAACTGCCCTACCCCATACCCTTGACTTATTTAATGAGGCCATTACAAGAGTAATGTAATTAATTACATTAATTAATTACAATATAGTAATGTTTCGTTATTATTTTATTTGTGATATCCATTATAGTAAATTTTACCTGTACATTATTTACATTGCATCTACATGTGCTGAGTTTCTCACACTGATGACTCTTTTCTTGCTATGTATAAGCACCTATGAATGTTCAACCCAGATATTCACTGACTACGAAGTCAAAGTATAAGATGCACCTATTTCTTTTCCCAGTGAAATAAAGTCTTGTAATTCTTGAAAATAAATTTTACTAAAAATCACATTTCCCATACTACATTCCATTTCATAAAAAAAAAAAACACACACACACAGGAGTATAAAATATACCCTATGAGCTTTTCAGATTCATTTGTGGACATACAAATCATGGTCTCTCTCTCTCACTGCATTTTGGTCACACATGTGGCTACGCACGCGTGCAAACAGAAAAAGCACACAAACACATACTTTTGCAATAATGACTTCCATAAATATTCAACAGATACAATGATATTGTTGTTATAAAGGAACATTTTCATGCTGGTGATGCAAGCTTAACTGAATTATATAATTCATTTTAACTGGTGTGCTCCTGGCAAGATGGTTAAGCACCTTTCAAATAAATTTCTTCAAGCTTTTGAGAACTCTTAATACAGACTCTTAAGGAGATATGGTATCACACTAATTAAATTTTGCCTGAAAATCATGGGTGAAACTTTTGGCACATCCCAGTTAAATGTCTGGAATAATGAGCTTACATCAAAAGCATTTAGAATATTTTATTGGCTGAACTGACTGGCTTGACAAAGAGCTGCAGTAGTGTACATTCTTCCTTATCAACTTAAAAGAACTGGACTATTCAGAGAATATAATCTTCCTCTGCCTCTTGCATCCCACACACTGGACCTGAAGTACAGATTCTATACATTCCAGAAGATTAGGTAGTCTGTCTTCCAAACACTCATTAAACACACAACTACAACCACATCCATACTGCTGCACAAGTATATATGTTTCCAAGTGCCGATAATATTCTCAACTGGTAACAATGTGTCACTGACCTTAACTTGATAATATTTCTGAAGAAAAGTTTCCTTCTCTGCACAAATTCTCACCACTCTGCATCACCATTAGCCTTTTGAAACACATAATCTTTGCCACCCAGGTTCATAATCCCATCTTTGAGATAAAACTTCCACTTGTTTCTACTTCGTGTGATCTGAAACCACAAACATCATTACACCTGCATATGCCATATGCTAAAAAATAAAATAAAAATACACATTCATTTCCAAAGTAAAGCACGTTCAGCAGACTTATTCATCGATGTATGGATGCAAATGGAAAATGACAAAGCAGGAAAAAACTGTGTTTACTTAAAAACTACATGTCCATTTTAACATATGGAGACAAAATTTGATCACAAAGGCAGATATAAGTAATGAAGCTTATTTCGCCTATGTCAGTTGGTTAAAAATGACCAATGTTTCAAACACAATCTCTGTCCCCATCACCCATCTGACTAGTAGACAACAGTAACTACAATGAGATTCTTGAGGAGGAGAACAACAACAGCAACAACTCAAAGATAAAACAGAACATAATGATATGGGAATGTTTTAACACTTTGTGGACCGGACGCATGATATCAGGCTTTTCGCTTTTAAACATGGCGGACCGGTCTCATGATATCAGGCTTTTAGGACACATTATGTTGTAACACACTATACCTTGCTCTGGCGCCACGCAACTGCAATGAATACTGTATAATAAATCTTCGGAATGTATGCTAGGTATTCAGTAACTTGAGCTGGGTGGCTTGGGTCCCTACTCCAAAAGAAAATAAACTTTGCCCCTTTCAGCTGTTTATGTACCCGGCAGGAAATCAGCAGAGGGGAATATGTTTCAAGGACAAAAGCGGTTGAAGGCAAGCGATCTCTCTGGCTTGTTTATGGAGCTATCTGATGTGCCTTGTGGAGTAGTGATTAGTGACTCAGACAGTGGAAGTGACAGGGGCCAACAAAGAATTGTGGCCACAGATAATAAAAGTGAAAGTTGCATTGTGGCTTATAAATTGTGCCATTTTCAATTCATTTTTGGTTTACAAAAATCTAAACCCTGATTCTAAATTGAAATACAAAGCATTTCTGATGAATGTGGCAAAGGCTTGGGCTACAGACCACATGGTGGCGGCAGAACCAGAGTCAGACAGACTTAGTGCGATCTAGCCCATCAACTCCCGCCTCACGCAGGCCTCATGTGGACACCCCTGGGTGACTCTCGGGTGATATGCGGAAACATACCCTCATGAAAACTGTGAAGAGTGAACATTCCAAGGGGAAGCATCCTTCTAGGCAATACCGTGTTTGTGCAGTTCACAAAGGGGAATGTTTCCAGAAATATCACACTCTCAAGCACTTCTAGGAGCATTGGTAAGGGTTCTCCAAAAATTTTAGTTCATAAAATTAATTAGATTTTATATTAATTTTTAAAGTGAACAGTGCACAAGTTAGGGTAGTATCTTTAAAAATGCCGGTCCCCAGGGTGATTTAAATATTTAAATTGCTGGTCTGCAAAGTGTTAAGAATGAACAAAGACAATTGCAAAGGTTTTGAATAAAAATTAAGAAAAATTCCATAGAGGAAGGAAGACTAAGATCAAGACAGAAACAAGAAGTTTGGAAGAATGTCATGCAGAAGGAAGGAAGAACATTGAAGTTTAGGAAAATGAGCTCTTTGAAAACAAAAGCATATGGACAGGCTTGGCTGTCAGATGACCCACATAAAGGCAGAAGCAGAAGATCTATAATCTTCCTTAGAGTGAAATCTATACTTATATTCTCAGAAGATGCAATGTTTTTATTTTATATTAAATCTGAGGACCATATATTGAGTGGTGCTCACACAGACATTCACATGCCTGCCAAGTGCAGTCTTGTCAGAAGGAAAGTAGATACATAGCTGAGGGCTGGCTGGCAGTGTCATGACATTCATATATCACCTGCTTCAAATTACCTAGAGGGAGGGGGAGGAAGAGGCAGACAAAACAAAATAAAATAGAAAAAGTATGTTAATTAACAAAAATTTTCATTTATGATTGGTATTTTCAATTTAAACTCGGTGAGTAAGTTGGTACCCAATGAGAAGCAAATATGATTTACACTAACCTTGTCATACTGACACACCACAACATTGTCTGTGTCAAATAAGTCTGTTGGGTCCTCATCACTGACATCATCTTCTGAGTTAAGTGGCTCCTGTAAAATTATTCTCAAAGTGAGTTACAAAGACCAAAATATATCAGGATAACGCAAATTATTTCAACAATAATTCCAAATAGTGCAGAAATGTTACAAAATTACCTTGTAAAGAAATTATATAAAAATTGAAGGACATCATGTACTTACTAGAGCTGGACCCACTGAGGAAAAGAAAAAAAAAACAAACAAAGTTTTCTAAGATCTCTTATCATCAGAGTCCATTTCTACGGGTGACGTTATCCATACTAAAAGAAGCTCTGAAAGGAACCCATGGTACCTATTTTCCTTCAAATGCTTCATCTGCATAGTATGGCTACCAAACTATAAATTAATAATTATACAATTTGATGGTCTTATTCTGTGCATTATTTATATTACCAGGGCTTAGACTATGCTAAATTTGTCCAATATAATCCCATATTTCCATTGGCACTATTGAGGGGGAAAAACACACACCTTTTATATACATTTATGATTTACCAAAATTTAATGAACCTAATTCCGGTGGTTCAGTGGTTACAGTCATTACACTGAAAATTAGACACAGAATTTGCATGGTTGCCGTGTAGTTTTATAGAGGACAAAATATTTTTGCATCAAAAAAGTTCAAAATCTCCAGAGTTCTACTACCACAGTATATTTCAGCATCCTCCAGCAGCAGAACTAGAGCTGTTACCATGTCAGAGGTTTGCATGGCAATCATGTCAATATTATTGAAATTAAGAAGTACAAAGGTGGGGGTGCCCTCTAGTGGCATACAGTACATATCAAGTTTCAAAAAGTTCTGACTAATGGTTCAAATTTGGAAAGTAAGCTAATAAAGAAACAAATAAGTAAAGTAAAGTAAGGCTATCCTTGTAACAGGCCGTAGAGACCAATAGGGTTGTGAGACATTAAGGCTCCCACATTTTCTAGACAATCGGCTCAAAGATGGCAGTAAGGTTGCTAGCCTTATATGCTGGCCACACTTTACTCCCCAGGAAAATTATTTAATTCCTGGTACTCATTTCTGTTAGAGGCTGAGTCAACCCCAGGGCCATAGGGCGGCTGGAAGGATTAGGTCAATTGAAAAAAATCCAATTACCTCATTGGGACGTGAACCCACGACCTTCCAGCTTGTAGCATAACCCCTCAACCAACTACGCTACTGCGTGCCCCCAGAGACAAATGAGTTCCAGGTAGAATTCATTCAGCATCATTATTATTTACTACAAACATTAGATTTCCAGACACTATATACTACACATCATTATTCAGCTGCTTTACTTTCAATGAATGTTTATAACAGTGCCAAATGTTGCCTCCTCACTTCTACACGCTGTTGGTATTCATGTTCCTGCCCACAACATACAAACATACATAACTTTTCAAAGGTCAGCTGTTCCTCCAGTCACCATCCTTCAGTTGTATATCTGCCGAGAATGCTATTTGTAAACCAACAGATATTCTTAATTTATACAAATTAAACTTGTCAGAAATAACATAAAAATTCTGTTCCTCTGTCATTTTTGCAATTGCTACTGAAAAACAGCATTTCATATGGAGTTTGTAGGTATATTTACAATTATTTCCATGCCAAATTTCAATTCAGATTTATTAATTACCGACATCCAGCTCAAAGATGAATACAGAGATAGTTCAGCCACTATATCGCTTTTGATTGAACAAAAAATTACCTTAACAAAAGCTACATAGTGTGACATGTCTAACCGTTGCTGGGCAACGGGAGGTGGAACAAGTTACCACGAAGACAGACCCTTGATAAACGATCGGTTGCCAAGTTACGCAACAGTAAGGAACAGCAGTGTTTCTCTGTGCTGTGCCTAGCCAAGCCGAAGTGCGCTGGCTGCTATGCAGCAATAAAAAATTCTCGCAGTGTTGCCCAGCAACACCTCTGTAAACACGGCGATTACCCAACAGGGAAGTGAGGCGCGTTTTCCACTGTCTGACTGAGGATTTATAAGAGAGATTGGAATTCCTAAGGAGTTAGTTGAAATGTAGCAGCCACCAAAGCCAGTTAGTATTCGGAGCATTCGGCAGAGTTGATGTCAGTCAGTCGCTGGGTTCAGTTGTAGCGAGTGAATTGTGATAGTGATGAAGAAGCATCTAGAGGACATTGTAACTGACAGTAATTGAGACATTGTAAATTGTGTAAGTGTAAGAGCGAGTGTACAATAAATTTGCTACATCCAAGACAGCATGAAGTTATTTGTCGCATTACAAACACCCAACACGTGACAATATGTTTTAAGACTTATTACAAAATACCATTTTAGGACTCTTAAATTAAGTGGCATTAGTAATGCTCCCATTTCATAAGTTTGAAGTTTGTTTGTTTCCTGTCTTGTTATTACTCACAGTAAGAAATTAAAATATACAAGGTTGGGTGGCCTTCAGTGGCATTGCATTCATACCACATTTTATGACATGAGTGGAACACACAGACAACCTGGGAATCTCACCGTCTATGATCCTTTTCGAGGGATGACAGAAATACCTACCTAATCAGTACGTGCTCTAGATAGACCATGCTGCAACCATTTATTGTGCAATGTTCAAAACTTCCATTACCCTCCTAGGCATCATATCAAGGCACAGTAAACCCCCAAAAAATGCCACCTTTCAGAAATAATTGTAACAACATGCCACCAAATTCAGTTAGAAAACTTGCTATAAATTTACTGTGAAATTGCTGCCATTAATTTCACCGTGGCAGCAAAGTCTACAGTAAATGACCCAACCTTCTTCAAAACTTGAGTGTGAATGATGGATGAGACAAGTTTTTAGTTGTCACTACTAGAAGTCTCGCTTATATTGGAAAGTAACTTGCTATGATCTTTCTCATGATAACACAGAATCTCTGAAGGAGGAAGAATTTCTCTTGACTTCTTGTATGTATTATTTACAGGCACAGTATGTGTTTGTCTTACATCTAATTCTGGTCTTTAAAACTGTGACATGACATTTAAAATCCAATCTTACTAGCTTTCTGTTCATTTGTATTCCATAGGTAACAAAATATTCCTTGACAAAAAATTTCTCCTAAGATATTAAATCTAAGTCTTTTAAGAGTTATTCAAAATAATTCTTTTTATTGGTCAAGTACCTAAAGTGGACACCAAGTACCTGCCATTTGCCACCAAATTTTGTGCCTTGGAAACCACAAGCTGAAGATCAACAGTGCTCAGTGCCAATGTACAAACACAAGTGCTAGTCATGACCTGTGCTATCGCTATGAAAAAGACTGCTGTTTGGTTCATAAACATTATTTTGCAGGCAACAGCTCCTTGACACATACTGAACATGAGCATCACATGCAGCATACCTCCTCTGGGCCTCCATCATTCTCTTCTTCATTTTCTTCATCATCTTTATCGTCATTTTCATCATCTTCATCCAGATCATCATCGTCGTCGTCATCATCGTCATCATCATCTTCATCAGAAGTGTCATGGAGACCGTCCAACTGCCTCACGGTTCCAGTGGCTTGCTGGAAACCCTGACGTCCTGGCATCACATTTCCATTGCTGGTTGTGTTTTGAGCAACAGCTGCACCAACTGTAGCCAACTGCTGCATCTGAGATGCTCCTGATGCTGCCTGCCCCTGCAGAGCTGCCGTCACATGCTGTTGCAGTAAGGAGGATGCAAGGTTCTGCGGCAATGCCATCGTAGCTGCTATTATTGGTCCTGTTAGTACAGTGTGCAACTGATTCCCTAGAATACAATGAACACCAGTGAGCATAAAAAATTGTGACATAAAATCTCCAATGAAGAGTTCTATGATTTAGGAGCAACACAAATATGATTTAAGATCTGAAGCTTTCACTGTAGCTAAAGTTGATACTTTCACTACCATATAACACTAATACCCAGTGTGAGGAAACACAAATGGAAAATTTCACTTTGTATGGATGGGGCTGTTAAGTAAAAGCATGTACGGTAACGTACTTATTCTTAATGCTGATTCCAAAATAACAGTGGTGCAGTTTATTGCATGACTGTGAATATTAAATTATGTGGGGTGTTTACCAGCACCTGGAAAAGATACGTAGGTCATTTCAGAAATAATGCACACAATTTTTTGTTTACATCCATGTTTATTTTTTTTAATATCTCTTTACAGTCCTTCAATATAGTCCCCCTGCTTCTCAATGACTGAGTCCCAACGTGTGGGAAGATTTACTATTCCATCCGGGACACCATCTTTGTTTATTTGTCGAATGACTCAGGTACTGCAGCAGAAAGCTCCTCCAAAGAGGGAAAACGACGGCCTCACATAGGTTGTTTCAACTTTGGGAATAAGTCGAAGTCTGGTGGACTCATGTCCGGGCTGTAGGGAGCATGAGGCAACACCTCCCAACTGTATTGGCACAGTTTTTCTTTTACAACATTCCTCATGTGCGAGCGAGTGCTGTCATGGAGAATGACTGGCCCAGCCTAGAGCAACTCAGATTGGTTTTTGTGCATTTTTCTGCGCAGATTTTCCATAGTCACAATAATAAACTGCTGTGACACTTTTCCTGCACGGAACTCTGTCTGTCATGATGATTCCTTGGTGATCATAAGCAAAGATCATCATTTGTTTGACCTTGACTGAGATCGTCAAAATTTTTTTGGTCGTGGGGAATATGGACCTCTCCACTTGTTGGACTGTGATTTCAGCTCCGGTTCAAAGCACTGTGGATTTCTGTCGGGTTTTTTCCACATAAAGTTTCGATCTTATTATATGACCTTTGATCTTCAACAGTCACAATACCTGAGAACCGTGAAGGCTCCATTTCTAACTCACGTTATTTAAGAACAGAGTATATTATAAATGAAACAAAATAACGTCCTTCTTTCTCAAGCCCTGAACTGTAACTGATGTGAGGCTCACTGTTGTTGCGTCATCTAATCCGCAGTGTTGCCAACCTGTGCATTATTTATGAAATGACCTACCTGCCAGTAAGAGAAAGAATAAACAACATATTTAAAGGTTTCACATACCTTGCAAAGCAGAAGCTGGGACCTGAATGGTGAGAATTCGTGGCTGTGAGTCTCCTGCCCCTCCTTGTGCTGGCAAAGTGATATGAATAGGGACCTGTTTGTTCAGGTCAGTTGTGATCACAGTGGCTGTCTGCTGAGGTGGCTGTGGCTGTTGTCCCTGCTGAGTCTGCTGCATCAGTTGCACTGAATTTGGCTGTAGTTGCTGTGTTTGCTGTTGAACTGATTGTGACTGTGTTGTAGATTGCTGGGCTGTTTGCTGAACCAACTGCGTTTGCTGAGTACCAATAATCTGTTGTCCTCCATGCTGGTTGGTTGTGAAAACTGTCATCTGGTTTCCAATATTTACTGTAAGAAGCATGGATGAATAAGTAATCAAACAAATATTGTATCCTTAGGCCTTGGGGGGGGGGGAAGAGGTGGAAAATGACAGTCAACACTAAGTAAGACTGGAAAAGTGCAACTTTATGTTACATAGAGTATTCACACAAATGTACATTTCATAAATATTTCTAAGATATGGCTTGTTTGACTAAACAGGAGCAGAATAATGAGAAATTTCTAAGCAAGTGCTATAACTTTCTAAAACTCTGTATTTTTTATTTAAAATGAAAAGTAATGTCTCATTCCATTATCAAATATGTGACAAATCTAACTGGCCAATATTACCCAACTTTATACATTTGTCTCTAAGTTTCACTGAGGTCTTCAAATGTGACATACACTATAGGAAATTAAAGATGTGAGAGACAGACAAACAACGTGAGCTCATAGGACAGCTATGTTTTGTATTATCCTACATTTTATACACCTAAATCTGAGATGTGACCTTAAATGACAAAATTATTATCAAAGTCCACACCAAAAAATTATAACAAGTAAGTTTACAACTATGATTATACAGGAGTGCTGATAGAGAGTGACAGAGTACAGGACAATTTGGTAAGAAAATAAGTAAGATCTAAAAGTATGTGACGATGGTACATTAGTACAAATATTATGTTTTTGGATATTATCCACTGCCATGTCTTTATCTAAAAACACTGCGTTTTCAGATAAAGACAGGACAATGGATAAGGTTCAAAAATGTAATATTTGTGGTAAGAAAATAGGGTGAGTAACAAAGTACAGTGCAATAATTGCACAGGCTGCCACAAAGGGACAAGCCATAAGGCTGAACAGTCTGATGCTCTTCCCACCCAGCCAAGATTCATACTGAAAGTGGAAATGACAATCATGCAAATCAATCAGAAACCTACCAGAAATGAGGATTTTTTATGGGAATAAAATCAAATCAGTCTCTTTTCAATAAGTGTAATTATACCAAAGACTCTCTAATTCTTGTACGTCAAAATATCTGAGGTCTTGGTGGAAAAAGTGACGCACTGAAGTGTTCAATAGTTAGCAATAATATAAATCCTCACTTAACATGCTTATCTGAGAATCTCATTCTGCCCAGAAATTATTATACAGTAATTTCCAGAACTATGTATTGGGAACAAAGTATGCCCATATAACTCATCAGGGAGGAGGTGTCTGTATATACATAAGATCAGATATAACATTTACTGCTATAAATTTAGCACAGTTCTGTCATGAAGAGAATGTAGACATTTTGTACACTTAAAATTTCTTTAGCTAAAACCAACATATTTGTACTACGTATATATAGGTCACCTTGCGGGAATTTTGAGCACTTTGTAAATAAGTTGGATAAAGTACTCAAATTACTCTATAAACCAAAAATTGAATTTATAATATGTGGTGATTTTAACATAATTTTTTTAGAAGGGTCAACACGTAGAACACAGCTATTAGTGCTGTTGCAATATATCTATATAGATCTATAAAAATATTATCAATAACTGAGACCAAAAGCTCTGCAATTGATAATATTTTTATAGATAAGGCAAGGATAAATTCATATGAAGTAACCTCTATTAGTAAAGGACTATCTGATCACGATGTTCAGTGTCTCATACTAAAAAATATCAATTTCCTGGAGAAGAAAAAAGTGCAGGGAATCACAAGAAGACTGGTAAATGAAGACTCAATTGCTCAATTTCTTAATAAACTATCTAATGAAAATTGGGAGAATATATATAAACTAAATGATGTAAACGAAATATTCAACTCATTTTTAAATAATTATTTGTCTATGAGTCATGCTTTCCAACGCAAAATGTAACAAATAAACACAATGATAATGGCTGGATAACAGCGGGCATAGGTACCTCCTGTAGATGGAAGGAATCTTTGTACATTCTCTGTAGAAACAATTACAACTATTTGTTTAAATCATACTATAAATCCTACTGCATGATATTAAGAGAAGCAATAAGAAAAGCTAAAAGGAAATATTATAATCAGTTAATCACATCAGCCAAAAACAAAATAAAAACTACCTGGAACATTATTGACACTGACACAGGTAGGTTAACAATTAGAATAAAGGTCTACCTCAGACTTTTCAAAATAATAGTAAAAAATAAATACTGAAGAAGCAGCTCATAGTTTTAATAAATATTTCACATCAATAACAGAAAATCTTAATATTAAGAAAACTAATATTTATACTGCAATGTCATACTTGCATTCCCATTTCTCAAATGGTATTCCAGATATGAATCTTAATTTAGTTGCAGAAGAGGAAATAATTAGTATAATTAGCAACTTAAAATAAAAAAAAAACTCTTCAGGGTATGATGGTGTAACAAATACAATTATAAAACTGTGCAGACAACAAATCAGTAAACCTCTAACTTATGTAATTAATAAGTCATTAACCATGGGTCTATATCCAGAAAGATTAAAATATGCAATTATTAAGCCAGTATACAAAAAAGAGGAAAAGGCTGTTATAAGTAACTACAGGCCAATATCTATAATACCTGGGTTTGCAAAAGTTTTTGAAACAGCAATTTTTAGAAGACTCAATGATCATATCATAAAACATAAAATATTACTTTTGGAGCAGCATGTATTCCAAAAGGGGTTATCAACCGAAGATGCAATGTTTAAATTAACCAATGTAATTCTTACAGCCTGGAATAGAAAAGAGTATGTAACTGGTATATTTTGTGATATAGCCAAGGCCTTTGACTGCATTAATCATGACTTTCTATTAATGAAACTGCAGTACTGTGGAGTGCAGGGTGTATTATTACCTGTATTACCTCCAGTACAGGATGCAAAGAGTGGAATTAAATTATATAAATAACAAATATTATTCTAACTGGGAAATTGTTGGATGTGGTGTGCCTCAGCGATCAGTGTCGGGACCCTTATTCTTTAATATATACACAAAAGATTTCCCCCTTTGAAATAAGTAAAATTTCGGAAGTTATTATGTTTCCAGATGACACAAGTATTCTTTGCGCAGCTAAAGATTACTAAAATTTAAAAATAAAATTGGATGTTGTTATTAATCACATGTTTTCATGGTTTCAAAATAATCAATTAGTGTTAAATCTGGATAAAACAAAAATGATAAAATTCACTCCAACAGCAGCTATGAGCTACCCTCTATATACACTGTTTTTTAACAAAAAGCTGAAAGATGTAGAAAAGATAAAATTTCTTGGTTTGCAGCTGGACAATCATCTGACCCGTAAGGGACATATCGATTTTTTGCTTCACGAGTTGAGCACAGTTTGTTTTCTAATGCGAAATTTATCCTATATATTAAATATAAATAGTCTTAAAGATGTACATTATGCATATTATCATTCACTTGTGAAATATGGAATAATATATTGGGGAAATACATCAGACAGTCATAAGGTCTGTGTCATACAAAAGAAAATAATAAGAATAATGATGGGAGTGGGCCCAACTCATACATGTAAAGATTTATTTAAAAAACTTGACATACTACCAATCCCATGTGTATGTTTGCATTCATTGATGACATCTGTTGTTAAAAATCTGGATAAGTTTCAAACCAATAACTCTGTATATGTCACTGGTACCAGAAGGAATGACCACCTTCACATACCTTCAACACATTTATCATCCTATCAGAGAGGGGTGTACTATTTAGGTGTCAAGCTATTTAACATTCTGCCGTCAAATATCACAGTTTTAAAAAACGATAAAAAAAATTTGGATTGTTTTACAAAATTATTTGCAAAGTAATGTATTTTACTCTATTGATGAATTTGTTGAGCATGCAAAGGGCTCAAAAGTTAAGAGTATATAATTATTAATGGTCTGTGTGCGTGAATTATATAGTGCTGAGACTTGCTTGTTGTAAATGTAGCAGTTTGTATGATGTCTGTGTTTTTGTTATGAATTTTAATATTTTATAATGTAACTGTTTGGATGATACGGCTTGCCAGTGTGGAATGGCAAGATGTGAATTTGACTGTGGTTTTTCCAAGACCCATGTGTGTTGTCCTGACAACTTGAGCTATCTGTGAGAGGCCTGATTATATATTTTATCGGACAAAGGACGAATGATGTACTGTCATCATGAATTTTTAATATGTGACATGTTTTATTTCCAGCCCTACAGGGAGTTGATTTGATCCATGAAGTGAAAATAAATGTAAATGTAAATCAGTGACAAACAAAACCACCCACATCATTATATATGCCAAAAATGCTTCCTGTGATCACACACCCATTCCTGGCACTGCCAAAAAATGTTCATATTCACATGTTCTTTACAAGTTCTTTCCAGAAACAGAAAACTTTAAACCCTTGGCTTGTGTGCAATGCATCTGAGGGACTTTTGAGAAGAATATTCAAGCCTAGCACTGATTTCATCCAGTTTTCTTCAGTGAACACTTGGCATTTTGATTTGGTTCCTTCTTGTCTGATACTGACCCTGTCTCTCTTAATTTCTGACTGTATGTATAGTTTTTCTATGTAGAACTGTAACATCCTGAAATTTACATTGCTGTTTTCTTGCTTTTCTTACATATGTAATCACTTTTCACACAGGTATGAACACCCAGTTTCAATGCATAACACATATTTAGGGCTTCAACACAGGAAATAATGCAAATGAGTGAATGACTGCTTACAGCACAAATAAAAACAGAGTAGAATTGGCTACAATGGGCTTGGGATTTCTTAATATAAGTGTGAGCTGGCATATAACACATAAATTCACTTTATGGTAGCTCTACAGTGATTTATTGGGAGAAACTGAAGACAAAGTGTAATGTCTGAATTTTCAGGTTTTCAGGTCCACTAAAAGCCTAAACCTCTCTGCACTAACTTAATGGGAGGGACATGTCACTTCCACTTCCGCAGATCAACAGTTCTTCACAAGTTCTTGGATGAAGACACTGTATTTAAGAATACATCATTCTGATAAAAAGTTACATTTTTATATACTTTAAATATTAATAACAGGCACAACTTCTGTTATGCACAATGAAACCAGCAAAAATACAAAGTATCTAAGTGAAAAGATCAGCTATCTTATGTTCAAGATTACAGTGGCCCTATCATGGAAGTGGCTACTATTCACCACTAGGTAAGACTGCATTGCGTTTAGCCAAATTTGAAAGGAAATATGTCCTATGAAAGAAGCATGGCTACATCCATCCATTCAACGGGTATTTATCAAAACAAACTAAATAGCTCATTTCAGATAAAAAGTTTCTTACTGTTCAGTTTCAATGGTGCAACATTATAAGAAAGAAAGAAAGAAAAAAAAGATTTGAATTCATATGTAAGAAATAAGACACTGTATCTGCAAGCTCAAAACTCCATGCATATTACATGTCAGAGCATAGTGAATCTCTCAATAAAAACAGCATTCACTGAGAAAGATACAGCACAATTTTTGCAGGCCATTTTTCATAAGAAATACTGTCCTATAAACTTCCAGAGGTATGTTTTATGGGTATTTTGTTTCTAAACACTTTTGTAACTGTATTCAAAAATGAAAATGACCTATGGAAAAAATGCTTCCATGTATTCTGTTGTTCGAGCACCACCTGTCCTCTGCTCTCTCAGAGGTTTTCATGGTAGTGACGATCCACGTTACAGCCTTCTGGGTTATGACGTTGTGTAACCTGCCTCCACCTTCAAGGTTGCTGTGACCTGAATTTGGTGGCAGGATGTTCCTGAAAGCACTGCTACCAATCTATCAGACTATACACTGTCATAACCCTAAAACCGCAAATAGAGCATTCTGAAGCCAAGCAAACTGGAAATGGAACGTACCAGTCTGTTTCTGTTGTTTGTTCTGTTTATGTGATGTTTTTGTTGTCATTTCACTTATATGGATTCTGTTGTCTTTGGAAACATTCAACTAGTGAAATTCTACTACACTTTAAATGGTCAATAAATTTACAATTTTAAATACAAACCAGATTTTCCAGATATATTGCCTCGGCCATCTTTCTGGGTACCAATTTGTGGTGGCTGAGGTTCAGGAGGCTCTGGATTCAACTCAAGAGCTTTGCTGGATAGTAACTTGGTCTCCCATATCTGTTTCAATTCTTGTAACACCTGCTCGTCAACACCTTCATCAAGGAAGGAGTCCCGTACTCCAGCTACCACATCCTCTATAACACTGTGGTACAGCTTCATCTGAAAACAGAACAGATGTAAACACTTGTCTAAAAATTTTAATTAAGTATCATAAACCTCAATTTCTGGGAATATATACAGTTATGATAACTTGACTGAGATCTTACAAAATAATCATAAAAATCAAGCAGATTAAAAGCAAGGCATTATTTATTTACACAGGTTGTACTGGAAGGGTTATGGTGGTGGTGGGGGGGATACATGTTGCAGTGGGTTGAGCAGATGGCTCACATGGGGCATGAATTCAGTTTTGGTCAGGTTACAGCTCCAAAAATGGTCATTTGGAAGAAAGAGGAGGAGATGGGAAGTGGATGGAAGTACGTCAAAGCAGTCTCCAATGGCAGGCTTGGTTTATTAATAGTGCTGAAATTACAAGTTCTACTACTAGAGACTAGTATATCAGTATTATTTTACATGTCGTATTTATTAGTGTGTGAGAATTTATAATCAGGTTTCTCTGCTTCAGGAACCACACACATTAACTTGACACAAGCACTGAAAGCATTACTTGATGAGTCACTTCTACAGTCTCATGTTCTGACATCTGTGCTTGAAGGTTACATTTCAGGTGACTGTACAAATCTATTATATAACATGACTCAAACTTCTACATGTATAGTCTAAAATCATTATAAAATTGACAAAACCAGTTTCAAGACTCTAACACTTCATGCTACCTTCTATTCAATCACTTACAAGAGCTCTGGCACAGGCAATATTAAGTTGTTTATGTGTGTAACAGCAGTGATCCACTTCCTGACATGAATCAAAGTATGATGAATTTCCATTTTACTCTAAGAAATCATATTTGACAGCCTGAATGTAAAGAGTATCCTATTTTTTACAGTGAGTTTTCTACAGTGCCTTTGTGAAGCAAACTTATGCATTATGGGCTGGCCAAACCTGATGGCAGGAGCACCCAACTTTTCCACCTGAGTGCACACTTGCACAATACCTCACTACAAGTAAGAAACTTAGAATTATGGTATATTTTCCATCAAGAAAACACAAAGTTCTGGGAAGAACAGCCTACTTTCCTTTCTTATGACATGAACCACATAGAAAATGGCACATCAGACAATTCTATCATTGCGTGTGTATTTGTTGCTGTGGGGATGTTTTTACCAAGATGCTGCCCATCAACGCATACAGACATATAGACTGGCAGGCATTTATGACATATGCTGTTGAGTCGGGTTCAGGTGCCATGATATACATACCAAGTTTCATAGAGATTCATTCAGGCATTCAGAAGTTGATAGGGGGATACAGACATACACAGAGACAGCATGGTGATCTCATAAGCCTATTCTTATTTTTTTAAACATAAGAGATCTGGCTAAAAAGTATTAATGTTGTGTTGTTTGTTGTTGATCTCTTCTATACTATATCCTAAAAGAGTCCTTCAGTACATATCAATAAGTTCATTAATTGTACGACAATTCCTAGAATATGACTAGTAATTAATAACTTCTTTGGGTTTCAAAGTCTGAGACTGACTCATAATATTACTATAACAAATGTGACTACTGCTAGGTTAATGAGGATTTGTTATAGATTGAAAACAAACTTTGTTACAACCTGTCTTGTAAAACACGTGGAACTTAAAATAATTCTGTTGTATATCTGAACACCAAATGGTAGTTCAAAATGAGGCAGTTACTGACTAGTGTAAACAGGGAGTGTGGGGAAAGGGGTAGCACACAGCTTTAATTGTAGTATTTTATGCAGATGAATGAAAATAATGCAACACATCAGTCAGGACAGATAGCTTTTTAGCCAACATCCAAATCTGGGATCTTCCAATAAGAATTTGAAGTCCTAATCACTACTGCACAATGTTAAAAAGTAGGCAATAAAAACCCTGAATTCCTTTTAGAGTCCTTTACATGAAATAAACGCTGAGTGGTACGTATCCCGGAGGTGATATGCAATGAAGCTATATGAAGGACATGAGGAGAAATCCCATTGATCGTCGAGGTGATGACGCTCCAAGCATCACACTCTCTGCCTACTGCTCCATTTCCATCCGGACCCCCTACGGTCTATGTCAACCGGCCCAAAGCACTTGCTGCTATGAAGCTTTTCATGTTTATATAACATTCACACAAACAGAACGGCTGGATGGCTGCAGGGGAATACAGGAACATATACTACAGAAGAAAGTAACGGTTCAAGGGACGTGTAGATGGGGTTAGTCCATGGGACTTATTTCTGTTGCCTCAGCATGGTTGCATATTGTATAAATAATTGAGTGCTATTAGTGATGATGCTGTTTGCACATTTGGGACATGTTTCACAATAGCATTTATTTGCAGCTGGCTTCAAGTGACAAGCAGAATGTGTATCAGGGGTGGTGAGCAACGAATACATGATGACTGGGGGAGAATGTAATATTAAATTTTCAAATAAAAAATAAATATATGATCATTCCCAAACTGCTGTTATTCTTGGTGCTGGTAGAGTTTCATCTTTGAGTAACATTATTTACATGTCATATCACCCATCTCATGTATATCTCATGTATGTCCAGTCACTGGAGACTTGTACTCATTTCACTTCCTGGAAACCTATACAGTAGAACTTGGTTATAACGTCATCAAAGGGACCTAAAAATAGTGTCGTTATAAACGAATGTCGTTGTAACCGAAATGGGCACTTCCACAGTAGCCTTATGTTAGTCACGTAAAAATCTACCAAAAACCGAGTTAAAATGTTGCATTTTTTAGTGAAATACGTAGTTAAGTACAGACTAACGTAACATTAATGTGGAATTGCCCAAATGTATAATATCAAAGACATATTACAGCGCTTTTCACTGACAATACACACAATATTTCACGAATCACTTTAACTTTCTCTTCAATGCTTAAAACTTTCCTTTTCATTGCCATGTTTTCGCTACTGCACTTCTCTGGGTTTAGGCAGGAACACTATAGGGTAAGTAGACAATGTGAGGTCCTGTTAGACGAGATTCTAGGAAAGGAATGCAGTTAACAACCTGCCGCGTCCTCTTGCACTATTCACGCAGTCCCACCCCACACCCTTGTTTTCGCATAAAACCCACGCTCCTCTTGCAGACCGCGGTCGTATTCTTCCAGGACAGTCACGTCAGCAAGTAGAGAAAGTGAGGGTGGGCAGACACATCGAACTTTCCCACGATATCAGAGAAATTCAGGAATGAAAATGACGTTACATACGAGGTTGATGCATTTGTGCATGTCGTACTAAGCAAGGTATAAAAACAGTTGCTTTATGAGGAATTAGTTCGTACCATTGAATATTTGACGCAATAGACAAGGTGTCGCAGAAACCGATGTTGCTATAACCAAGTTTTACTGTATTTACATTCAATCCATTTATTTTCTGTAATTTTTATATCACTTCAAAGTTCAAAGTTTTAAATAAATCATTTACAATCATCAAGTTCAAATTAATGTTTTATTAGCCTACATTTCATTCTTAAGGAAAAAAATGGGCTTCTGAGATCATCACGTCTCTTGCCTTTCGACTTCTGAACCAAATGACTGAACATATGAGTAGGATTGGGAGAAAGGAATGTAAACAAATTTTTGTGAGGAAATCACTTGGAAGGCTGAGGAAATGGGAGTGTAACATTAAAATGAACCTTTGGAAGACAGGTTGTGAAGACAGGAGGCAGATAACTGGGCTCAAGATGTCCAACAATAGTTTTGAAGCTTCAGCTTCTATTACCACAATGTTAGTCATTTTCATTTAATCTAGTTCTTTCCATTTCATAAGTTTCAAATTCTTCTACATTCATTCCAAGCATGAAATGGGGCAAAACTCAAAGTGCATCAACATTCTTATCTTCATATTCAGTGATAGCAGCAATGAAACATATTGGAGGAAATATTTAACTTCTAAAACCTGCAGCCAAGCTTCAGCAAGTCTGATCTTTAAATGGAAGAAGATATACAAAAGAAAATGAGAAACAGAGTCTGTCGAATTCCTGTAATTCTGGTTTTGTATAATCCCCACAATATACCATAATTTCAATGTGTCAACTATTGAAATCTAAGGGCAGGCACAGAAAACCAGATGTAATTTTTTAAACTAATTATCTTAAAATATCCTTCTTATGGTGAATTTTTTTTGTAAGACATTAAAAAACTGTTGCACAGTAAATAATGGATCTGAAAAATTATACTGGAAGGTGACTTCCTTTAGTATAAACTGTCCCACAATTAAATGCTACATAAAATATAATCTTTCTTTTGCAGTTTCCTTATTAATTTTTCATAATCATGCATAATCACATGTCACTGAATATTAAATGTGTCAGAATTAACAGCTACACTATTACGTGCTCACTGATAGTTTTCATACACTGCCTAATTAATGTCTGCTCCAAACTACTTGTATTGACCTTTTTTCTTTCTTTCTTTCTTTCTTTCGGCTTCCTGTTCATATTAAGAAACAATTCAAGATACCAAACACAGCTTACAAATAGTACTAAATTTGCTACACTTAGGTTTACTTACCAGGCTGTCAATCCAAAGTTATGGGTAAAAGAATGGGGAAAAACACGTTTTACGCCTTTTGCGGTGCAACGCCGTCAAGTGTGGTAGAATTTAACCTATTTTCAGCAGGAATTTACTACTTCCATCTTCAGGATCTAAGCAATCAACTACATTTGCATTTTCTACTTTCCCGGCTTACTCTCAGACCCTGAAGATGTAGGCAGTACCGCCCTCCAAAACGTTAGTAAACTTCTACTTGACTAAAGGTGCCACAACTCAGGTGGTACGCTTCATATCCATTTCAGTAAATACCTCAAATGTAACAACCTTCACTTTCTTCAGTACCAAAATGATTTTAAAAAGTACGCCGATGATCTCCCCGACATTTAGGCCCGTCCATACTACAAAATGGAACATCGGATATATTACGTAATGATAAATGCTTAATTCCTTGCATATAACACCTTTCTTAGTATCATAACCGTATTTAGATAGATTTAAATGTTCCTCTGCACCTACTCTTCAGGTACGTGCCATGGATACCGTGTTACAACCGTTAATGGGAGATGATGTGTCATCATTTCCAGGGAAATACTACCTTGAATGGCAAACAACCTTTATTGAACACCAGGATCATCACTTATTACTTACCACACTAGTCTGACTCTGTGCTGACATTTGTGATCTTACTTTGGCTTAATCGGTAAAAAGTAATTATACGGAAAAATGTCCAAGTGTTCTACAGGCTTCTTTAGAGCCAACTTCACCGTCGCACCGAGCTCTTTTATACTTTCTCCGGTCTTCCCATTCCACCTTATAGGTTGTTTATTATGACGTCACATCCGCCTACATAATCATATGAGAAACTAAAATATCTACGCATATTGATTTGATGAAAATTTCAATATTTAAATAAATATGTATATTACACAATCAAAATTTCGCTATTTAAGCAGGTATATTTCGATTGCTGAAACATAATTGATTATTCCTCACATCCTGACCTCGCAGCGCTACCAACATTAACTGGGGTTCAAGCGATTTCACAACACAATATTATATAATGCCGCTAGATGGCCGAGAGATGAACTGAATGTGCTACCATCTCTCGACGATGTCCGAATTACGTACACTGCCTCAGCGAACCGGATGTGCGCCAAATTAAACAGCGCCAATAAACTCTATGAACAATTTGGAAATCTGACTTCTGGGATGTCATGCCGTGTAGCCTGGTTAACTTCTACCAATCTTTCGGGAAGACGTAATGCCGCCATCTTCAGGACTGAAAACTAAGCCAAGCAACAACAGGCAGCAAGCAGAAACTTGCTTGGCTTATTCTTGGACCTCGAAGATTGAGGCATTACGTACCTCTTATGCAATTATCGAAACATATCATTGTCACCGACTTCGTACAAAATTTTATCGAAACATCCTTCCCTCAAGGTTAAGTCTGCATACACGGCCGAATTTATTAGCGATCATCATTGCAGGTTTTGAAGTGATAGATCAATAACTGATCAGGTACTTTTCATTCGTCAGATACTGGAGAAAGAATGGGAGTGCAACGAGACAGTACATCAACTAATCACAGTCTTTGAAAATGCCTATTATTCATTTAGGATGAAGCATTGTACAAATATTTTCACTATGTTTTGCATACTCATGAAATTTGTTATGTCAGTCAACACGTATTTAAATGAAAAATAAAGTAGAATCCGTACATGAAATCATCTGTCTGATACATTTCCTATTCAAAATAACGTAAATCAAGGAGATGCTTTATTGCTATTGCTATTCAACTTTGCTTCAGAATACGTCATTGAGAACGTCCAAGAAAACCAGGTGAGATTGAAATTAAACGGGGCACATCTGCTTCTTGCCTGCATTATTGATGTAAATTTATTGGCAGACAAAATAAACACCATAAAGAAAAAACTATCAGACGCTAAGGAGGAGGCTAGCCTGGAAATAAACACAGAAACGCCCCGTAATTTTGATGTCTTGTCACCAAATTGCAGGACAAAGTCGTAAGATGAAGACAGTTAACACATCCTTTGAAAACGTGGCTGAGTTCAAATATTTGGGAAAAATAATAACAAATCAAAATTTGATTAATGATGAAGTTACGAGCAATTTAAATCCGGCTAATGCTTGCTACCTTTCAGTTCAGAACTGTTTGTCTTTCCGTGTGTTGTCTGAAAACGTAAACATTATAGTATACAAAACTATAAAATTGACTGTAGTTTTGTATGGATGTGGAACTTGGTCTCTTACGTTAAAGGAAGAACACAGATTAGGAGCGTTTGAGAACAGGGTTCTGAGGAGGACATTTAACCTAAGAGGGATGAAATAATAGGAGGTTGGAGAAAATTGCACAATGAGTAGCTTCATAAATTGTGCTCTTGTCCAAATGTAAAGTGAAGGAGGCAGGGCATGTAGCACATATGGAATCATACCATGGAATCAAACGTACATGGTGTTATAGAAAAGCCTCAAGGAAAGGGGCCACTAGTAAGACCTACCGGTATCCAGACAGCATTGCGTCGAATGACAGGGCGACTGGGGAACTTAAAGGGAACGGGAAGGAAGAGGCCGTAATCTAATCGAGGTATTATCCCAACAGTTGCCTGCAGAGACTTAAGATGTACGTAGGAGGATAATATTAAGACCGATATTAGATAAGCTGGAGGGCTCTTGTGAACACGGTAATGAACCTTCGGGTTCGATAAAATGCTGGGAACTTCTTGAGTAGCTGCAGAATTGGCGGCTCCTCCAGAAGGGCTCAGCTCCATGAGTAAGTAAGTAAGTAAGCAAGTAAATATTAGATAAAATGAGGGCATGGGGTGATTCACATGGCTCAGGATAGAGACTAGCGACAGGCTGTTGTGAGCATGGCAATGAACCTGCGGGTTCCATAAAATGCTGGAAATTTCTTGAGTGGCTGAGGAGCTGTTCGCTTCTCAAAAAAAAAAAAAAAACTTGGCTTCATGCGGCTAGTTACCTATTTTTCATTCACTTCAAATCTTATTACAGAATACTTTACTGAAGGGCCTAAGTGCATTTATGTTTATATCCTTTGAGGCCTCTGACAGATTTTAATATAACTCGATGAACATTACTCTTAGTACGCCAGTACTGGCACATAGAATTTCATAATCCAAAACACGTTCTGAAGATCACATTACTAAACGAAACTTGTTCACAACAGGACTGAAGCTTTCAACGAGCAGTTGATTTGGACTTAGCACGCAGTAACCAACTACAGCAATGCATTTAACAGCATGTATCTGTCGTCATTTGGTGTGGGCAGTGCTAATGAAGATGAAGAGGCTGGAGGGGTGGCAGGGAGGAGAGAAAACGGTGGATAAACGTCCATCGCATGCAACGACACAGACGCCAAACAAATACATTTAAAACAACGATTCTGTTTTTACGTATGTTACAAAATTACTTAAATTTAATTCTATAGGCCTTCCTTCATGCCTTCTTTTGTCCTCAATTTTAACGTTGTCAGAAGTAATGATTTACGAATTTTCTAGATTTATTTCTGAGCCACATCTCCACAACACGCAAAGCGCTTACTTCTTTAAGCGCTCGAGTGTGAAGTTACATTAATCAAATTATGCAAAAGAACAGAGATATATTTTTCATTAATAGATATTTTTAATAGAATTTATTAATAGGCTATAACATGGCAGCTTAACATTAGTATTATATTTTTCTTTGCGTACCAATATCAACATATTCAGACATCCTTCCTGTCTGCTGCTGGCGCTTTGTTAGCAATCAGTTAATGAATATAATTCAATAACTATTTGAAGGACGTTTTATGGTACGCACCTTTTATTTTTAAGTTTCTCATTGCGAATCGTTGTCGGAGGCTTGATTGAAACTTCACGTACAAATGAACTGCTTTATATTCTGGGGTCGCTCATGAGATTTTACGGGTTTTAACCTCGTTTTTTGAAAGGGAAAAACACTTATATATAGCAGCCATATCTTGTACTCATATCCTCATAAATAACAGAGTACTGTGATCCCAGTCCTTCTTAATGTAGAGTTTACTTTCCACATGACCACCATAGCAGTACTAGACGAGCGAAGAAACCAAGAAGATCCTTATGTTAACACTCACGGTACTCCGAACACTCAAGTGCCCCGAAATGTTGGTATCTATCTATCAAACTACCTGGCGTCACACTCAGAAGATTGTAGTATTACTTTGAGTATGTAAACATCTTCATGTTGCGTTATTTACTCCATTCCAGCCAGTTATACTCACTGAGGTTTCACTGATTTCTACAGAACGAAAACAATTAATTCTGAATGAATGTTATTATGCCGAAGATCAAAGCAGTTTCAGAAACTATTCTTCTCCTAATTTCAATGCAATTGTTATTTCGATATCTTGTCATTCTTATTTATTAACACAACAATGCATTGTAGCCCACTGACTGACTGACTGACTGACTGACTGATCTACTAAGTAACCAACCAACATATTCAATCAGTCACTCCGTGGAACTGAGTCCTTCCTGAGAAGCCAACAGTCACTCAGTCACTCAAGAAATTCCTAACATTTTATGGAATGCGAAGGTTCATTGCCGTGATCACAGCAGCCCGCTTCTGGTCTCTATCTTGAGTTGGATGAATTCAATACATACCATCATCCTGCTTCTCTAAGATCCATTTTAATAATATACTACAATCTACGCTACGTCTTACTAGCGGTTTATCTCTTTCTGACTCTCGTAAGGAAATTCAGTATGCATTTCTCTTTCCCATGCGTGCTACATGTCCTGACCATCTCATCCTCCTTCGCTTGATCATTTGTGTATTTGACGAGGAGTGCAAGTTATGAAGGTCATCACTATGCAGTACCCATTGACAAAGTTCGAAACTAAATATTATCTAATCGTATGAATTGCTGAATTCAAATTTGTGATAATTGGAATGAGCGATGCGGTGCTTCAAGATGGTTCGCTGTGTTACACACCTTTCAATCCACAAAGTGGATGAGGTCTGGTATCACGTCATGCATGCTTGGTTTGGACGTGCCACTTTACTTATTCGCGTATTGAACTGAATACCTATCAGGTTTCCCCAGCGTCGTGCCCATTAGGCACCCGACAGAGTTTGAATATTGTTCCTGGTGGGCGTTTGACACAAAGCGGGCCCAGAACTGTTGTCGGATGCAAGTAACAAAACAGAGATAAAATCCTACACAATCCCGAATCTGGTCATTAGTTGGTTCGAGCTATCCTCGTATACTGGCTTTGTGCATGTTAAATTATTAAAGGCTTCTGTGACTGACGAACATTAAGCAGAAGGAAGTGTAATGAAAGATATTAAATTCCGTGCCCTTTGCGAGGCCAGAAGCTGCAAGAGGCTGGCAGCTGATTTCTGCAATATTGGCCATCTCCTCTCCGCCTGTTTCGTATGCCTGCAAAACATGAAAATCGACTCTACTCAAATTGAAAATGAATGGAAATATTTGTAATGTTGCGTTATAATCATGAATTTTTGATTCCATAATGACAGAAAATAAATATCATCACCATTGGAATAAGAATTGCTCAAGGAAGAATGTCTGACATGCGAAGAGTTCGTTTGTTACTTGTTAGTTATAACTGATATATATTTATAAAACTGATCCCCATAAACTCCATATATACACAACATCAAATTTGAATATCCAACCCCATGTAAAAACAACCTGAGGGTGATACCCAGAACAACGAGTGTAGCCTTCACACGACAATATGAAGGCCAAAAACCAACAGGACCCAGATTCTGAGGAAAGTTACCCAATATCACA